TACCATGATTGGCTTATTGGCAGAGTTGGGGTCTTGCTAACTTTTTGCCTGGATTGGTTTCAAACAGATAATCCTAATCTCTGCTTCCTGAATTGCTGGGATTGTTGGTGTTCACTACCATGCCTGACTCCATGTATAAGAGTTACGATGTTAATTATCTCGGAGTAAAATTTCCAAGTTATAAGAATAGTTTTATTTTTTTTACTATAAAATATTTTCAATGTAGATTTAACAACTTATACTTCTAGCAGCCAACCAAAGTTCTTATTACTTCATATTTGTACCAAAAGTTCAAAATAATTAGTTTTAAGCAGTATGGAGGTTCCTCAAAAGACTCCACATAGAGCTCCCCAATGACCCAGCAATCCCACTTTTGGGCATTTACCCAAATGATCACAAACAAGGCCACACTAAAGCTACCAGCACAACTATGTTTATTGCAGCATTATTTACCATAGCTAAGATATGGAACCAACCCAGATGCCCCTCAGTAGATGAATGGATCAAGAAGATGTGGTATATATACACAATGGAATTCTATGCCTCCATCAGAAAGAATGACATTTCTCCATTTGTTAGGAAATGGAAAGGCTTGGAAAAAATTATATTAAGTGAAGTAAGCCAGGCCCAAAGAAACATAGGTCCCATGGTTTCCCTTATTTCCAATATCTAGTATAGGTATGAGTCAAGCGGAAAAAGTCAGAGAATGTGATGTTAGGAAAACGAACCCTCAAATATGTATTTTAATGTTTTTGTTTCTTTCATGCATGTGTTTCTAACGCATTTATAAGATTATTTCTTTGTTGCTTTGTATGTCCCTCCCCCACAGTGTAACCCCCGCTTTCACTATATTTGATGTCAGTATAACATGTGGAGGAGACGGGGACAAACAAGTCGTTTAAGGATTCAGGTGGACCTGTTGCAACAATGAGAAGTACAAAATGTCATGTCAAAACCAGCTTTACAATGTCGGTGTGGGGGGGGGGAGGGGGGGTATGATTGGGTGGGGGGGAGGGGGGAGGCTGGGAAGGGAGGTGAAGGGTAAACAAAGGAGGAGGCTGCAATGCTTGGTAAGAAATGTATGCATTAATCCTGCCCATGTAATTGTAACCCCTCTGTACAGTATGTTCTCAAATAAAATAAAATAAAATTTAAAAACAAACAAACAAACAAAAAACAAAATAATTAGTTTTTTCAGGTGTGTGTGTGTGTGTGTGTGTGTGTGTGTGTGTTACTGAGGATTAATCCCGGGGCCTGTGCTTGGGTAAGTGTTCTACCACTTGAGCCACACTCTAGCCCCCTTCTGATTTGTATTTGTTTATGACATAGGATCTTATTAATTTTGCCAGGGTTGGCCTAAAACCATGCTCTTCCAGCTTCTGTCTTCTGAGTCACTGGAATTATAGGCATGCATCACCATGCCTAACCTCAGACTTCTTAATGTGTGTATTCTGATGGAGTATGGTATGTTATCATTATAGTTTTAATTTTCATTTTGCTGGTGATAAATTAATCTTCATAGATTTATTATCCATTTAGATTTTTTTGTCAAGTGCATGCTCAAAACTTTTGGGCATTCTTTTGTTAAAGTGCTCACCCCCGCTCCTCCTTTTTTCTTTTTTAAAGATTTGCCTGTCTTTAACAGTGCTTTATTTAATCTGTGTATTAATAAAGGATCTGAATGAAAAATGATTAGGGTTTGAGGCTTACCACATAGCCAGAAGGCATTTTCAGCAATCTACATTTTTTTTTTTTTTTGCAAAATGCCTTTATGTAATTAGTTGGCAGAAATGATCTATCAGACAAATTGAGCCTAAGTCTCTGCCCAGACCATTATCTCCAGTCATCTGTCAGTGGACCCTATTAACAAATGATGTTAATAATGGTGGTTAACATTAACCAGATCTTTCCATAGGTGCCATACTAGGTCACTGGGTTGAACACATCATGTGAGTTTCTTCTTTTCCTCCTCCTCCTCCTCTCCCTCCTCCTCCTCCTCCTCCCTCCTCCTCCTCCTCCTCCTCCTCCCTCCTCCTCTTCTTTTGGAGGCTGGTGGTGGGGCTTGAAGTCAGGGCCTAGGTTCTGTCTCTTATTTCTTTTTCTTTTTGGTTGGTCATGGGGCTTGAACTCTGGTCCTGGGTGCTGTCCCTCAGTTCTTCAGCTCAAGGCTAGTGCTCTACCACTTTGCGCCACAGCACCAATTGCAGTTTTCCTAGTGGCTAATTGGAGACAAGAGTCTCATAGTCTTTCCTGCCCAGGCTGGCTTCGAACCTTGATCCTCAGATCTCAGCCTCCTGTGTAGCTAGGATTACAGGCGTGAGCCATGGGTACCTGGCAAACTGTACCTTATTTCTTTGCTCAAGTCTGGTGCTTTACCACTTGAGCCACATCTGGCTTTTGGGTAGTTAGAGACAAGAATCATTCTGCATGGAAAGTACTATTAGGCTTAAAGATTTAAATGATGTGAGCATTATAAATCAGCTAGTGAGTGATGGTGCTGAGAGTGAGATATCATCCAGTTCCAGAGCCCACATTTTGATCTGAATTACTATACTGCTTCAAAACAAAGTTTCCATCTGGCTTCAAATTGGGGCTTATTGTGTACTATGGAAATGATTCTAAAAGAAAGGAAAATAATTAAGGACTTAGTTTAGACATTAAATTCCCCCTAGAATAGCATATTGTGTTATGAAGAATTCTGACAGAAAGAAAATGAGGTTGAATAAAGAAAGCTCTATTGAATCTTGGAATTATATTTGTATCCCAGTCAAAGCAATTTGTAACTGACAAGTTTGGGATCTTTGGACTTAATATCCTATTAATAAACATATTGAACATCTTGAATAGGTAAAATCAACTGCTCATAAGCTGGACTCAGTTTTTAGGTTAGGATGATAAAATAAACAAGGATGGCAAATCTATCCGTGCCACCGATGTTGCTTCTCAACTCTCAAAGCAAGGAACTGGGACAATACAATGGATTGTGTTGAGTCTCAAAGGGATTTGCTAGTCATTAATAAACACAAAACACAAAAAATGTTGAAATGCAAGACTCTAAACATCACTGCTTCTGGGCAAAAAGACTCTTCTCAAACAATAACAACAAAAACAGTCTCCACCCCAAAAAAGCACAAAGTACAGATCTAGGGGGGGAAAAACATCTGTTTCCAAGTTAACCTTAGAATTTGTGGTTTGATGAAAGAATTATGAGTATTTTGAAATGAAGTTGGTAGCACACAGATGAAACTTGGAAACGATCATAAGAACTAAGTACACAGTTGCAACTTGTGCTGTCAATAGAATTTATATCAGATTTAATTCACAGGTGTCTTTCTCACCACCCCCAACCCCACCCCGACCTTGGGGGGGAACCTTCTGGCTGGATCATGTTCACAGATCCAATCTGGCTTGTAGAGTTGTGTTCTTTCTCCCTCTGAGACCTTGCCCAGGCTTGTAGTTTCATTGGAAAGAACAATTTTCAATTTTCAATGTTTCCTTCTAGACTAAGCATTATTTCCCCCACTGCTTGATCGATGAAATCCCACTGTCTGTGTCTGGAAGGCAATGTCTGAGCTTTATGTATTGCTTCCTGGCAGGCCACACATTTCCATGCTCCATGGAACAGATGCACCCGTGTAACTCTGTGTGCCACTGGCTCTGGAACCTCCCATCTTGGGGTATGACAGAGATTGTGCTTCATTTTAGCCGTTAGAAATGTAAAGGCCATGCAATTATACTACTATCCAGTGAATTTGGTTCGTAACTCTTGTATGGCATTTAATAGCTCACTAGGTGAGAATACTTTATCTCATTTACTCTGCCCAACTATTGTTTATGGGAAATGGTGCTTTCTGTTCTTCCATTTAATAATGAGGAGGGGCTGTGACCCTTGCCTATGATCATATAGCGAGGAGCAATCTCATCATTAAAACCCAGGTCTTCTGATTCTAAACCAGTATTGTTTTATGATTCAGATAACAAACCCAAGATTGGAGAATTACAGAGGGCTTTCAGAAAGAGCCATTTTCATCCATGTGCTGTCAGTCTAGAAAGCTAGTGGTTATATAAATGTCACATCGCTGCTCATTTGAGCAGAGCAAAACAAAAAAGAAACCATTTCATTGCTGCCTCTAGGATAAGAAATATTAGAGAAAATTGCCAACATACTTTGCAAAACCCTAAACGTGACCAACCCTCCCTGTGTGAGAGAAGCAGGACTGTCCTGTAATTCCTCTGTAACCATAAAGGTGCTGGGCTTTACCTTCCCAGACATCTCACTGTGTGTTGCCTTTCTTCTCCAACAATCAAATTCTGGAAAGGAGGTGTTTTTGTTAGTTCTTCCACAGACAGAGAAATCGGGATAAAAGATTTGAGTACACCTATCCTATTTGGGAGGAGAAAGAAGCACTGTAGGGTATGGGGCTACAGTACAGGTAAGGAATGGTGGCCAGTGAAGTGTGATGTTCTGGAACCAGCTAGCACTGGGGCACCTAGAGCCTTTAATCTCATGTAGAAACTCTGGACACAGTGTTAAATCCAATCCTCAGAGACTTGGTCTGTGAGAGGGATGGAACCAGAGTCTATGCCAACTCCCATTAGCCACTGTTGAGAGATTCTGGAGGGTGGCGGAGGCGGAAACCCTATCTCCCAGTGTGCTGTGCTGGAGGGGAAAGTGGCAACAGATAACTTAGGAAAAACAAGTTCCTAGACAAAGAAGTATAGATACTGAAAGGGAAAACATCTCAGAAAAAAGCTTAAGGGGCACTTGGGGTGCCTAAAGAGCTTTCTGTAACAGAACCCAGCTCTTGTATTGTTTTGAGATTCTCTTTTGAGAGCCCAGAACAGCATTTGGGATACGATAATCCCCTGACAACTTCTTACAGAGGTATACATTACATCTTAACGGACAAAAGAAGATAGGAAGAAAGAAGCAACAAGGAAGGACACAGGAGTTCCTCTGTACCAGAGCAATTCCAGAGCAGGTTCAAGTCTCTACTCACACTTTCTCATAAATCTTGTCAGGATGCTCTGGCCACTCAATCATGCATACCACTCTGCTGGGCATGGTCTCCGTGGTGGAGTAGTAGCCCTGCGGGAAGGCCAGCAGGAGGGCCAGAGCCCAGATGACACATATGACCACCTTGGTGGCCGTGGCTGACAGCCGAGGCTGAAGAGGATGAATGATGGCCATGTACCTGGAATGAGAAGAAAAGACACAGTTAACCCACATCCATAATTTTGATTTTGCAGTCAGTGAAAACTTCCAGAAATGATATTATTTTTATTAGTTTATTTTTAAAAGAGTGTGTGTGTGTGTGTGTGTGTGTGTGTGTACTGGAGCTTGAACTCAGAGCCTGGGTGTTGTCTTTTTTTGCTCAAAGCTGGTATCCTATCACTCGAGCCCCAGCTACACTTTTGGATTTTTGGAGATAAGAATATCTGGGCTGGGAAGGTGGCTCAGTGGTAGAGCACTTGCCTTGCATGCATGAGGCCCTGAGTTTGATTCCTCAGTTCCACATAAGCAAAAAGAAAAAAGCCGGAAGTGGTGCTGTGGCTCAAGTGGTAGAGTGCTAGCTTTGAGCTGAAGAGCTGAGGGACAGTGCCCAGGCCCAGTGTTCAGGCCCCACGACCGGACCAAAAAAAAAAAAAAAAAGAATGTCACGAATTTTCTTGTCCAGGCTGGCTTTGGACTGTGATCCTCAAACCTTAGTCTCTTCAGTAGCTAGGATTACAGGAGGAAGCCACTGACAACTATAGTCTATGGTCTATTTTTAAGCTCTCTGACTTATGAAATCCATTAAAAAAAAAACTCCAACTGTACATTTTAAAATATTTGAAGACCCATCTAGCAACATTCTAGGCGACATTCGTATCACTTAAATCCTAACATTAGGGACATGATAATCAAGTACAGGTCAAAGGATTATGGAAAACTTGGAAAAATAAGAATGATGTTGCAAATTTATGTAATATATAGACTCTTTTATCTCTTTTGGAGTAAGAGACAATGGTGGTCTATATATACTTCTGAGCTAGGTGCCCTGGCTCACATCTGTAATCCTAGCTACTTAGGAAGTTGAGATCTAGGAATCAAATTTGGCCAGGACAAAAAGTTCCTGAGATTCCATTTCAACCAATAAAAGGTTGGATGTGGTAGTGCACACATGTCATCAAAAGTACAGCAGGAAGCATAAATAAGAGGATCACTGTCCAGGCTAGCCTAGGCAAAAAGTGAGACTCTTCTCAAAAATAACCAATGCAAAAAGGGCTAGAGACATGGCTCAAGGGTAGGGTGCTTTTCTAACAAGCAGGAGGCCCTGAATTTCAAGCCAAATACCCACAAGGAAAAAGAAAAAGTCATACATTGCAAAAAGAGGGTTCAGTCAATGACAGATTGCGTATATGAATGTGGTACCATAAAATGATATTGCCTAATGGTTTCAGAGCTGTCTTAATTTCTATGAATATGCTCTATGAGGCTTGCACAGTGACGGAATTGTTTTTTTTTTGTTTTGTTTTTTTTTTAATTTAATTTTATTTGTGAACATACTGTACAGAGGAGTTACAGTTACATGGGCAGGATAATGCGTACATTTCTTACCAAGCATTGCAGCCTCCTCCTTTGTTTACCCTTCACATCCCTTCCCAGCCTCCCCCCTCTCCCCCTAATCCCAATTCTTCTCCTTCCCACCCCCCCCCCCCAAACCAACGTTGTAAAGCTCGTTTTGGACATGACAACTTGTACTTCTCATTGTTGCAACAGGTCCACCTGTATCCTTAAACAACTGGTTTTTCCCCATCTCCTCCACAAGTTATACTGACATCAAATATAGTGAAAGCAGGGGTTATACTGTGGAGGAGGGACATACAAAGCAACAAAGAGATAATCTTATAAATGTGTTAGAAACACATGCATGAAAGAAAAAAAACATTAAAATACACATCTAAGGGTTCATTTTCCTGACATCACATTATCTGACCTTTTCCGCTTGACTCATACATATACTAGATATTACAAATAAGGGAAACCATGGGACCTACGTTTCTTTGGGCCTGGCTTACTTCACTTAATATAATTTTTTCCAAGTTTTTCCATTTCCTAACAAATGGGGCAATGTCATTCTTTCTGATGGAAGCATAGAATTCCATTGTGTATATATACCACATTTTCTTGATCCATTCATCTACTGAGGGGCATCTGGGTTGGTTCCATATCTTAGCTATGGTAAATAATGCTGCAATAAACATAGTTGTGCTGGTAGCTTTAGTGTGGTCTTGTTTGTAAACATTAGGGTAAATGCCCAAAAGTGGGATTGCTGGGTCATAGGGGAGCTCTATGTGAAGTCTTTTGAGGAACCTCCATACTGCTTTCCAAAGTGGTTGAACAAGTTTACATTCCCACCAACAATGAAGTAAGGTTCCTTTCTGTCCACATCCCCTCCAGCATCTGTTGTTAGAGTTCTTGATTTTTGCCGTTCTAACTGGAGTGAGGTGATATCTCAATGTTGTTTTGATTTGCATTTCTTTTATGGCTAGGGATGTTGAACATTTCTTCATGTGTCTATTGGCCATCCTTCTTTCTTCTTCAGAGAAGCTTCTCTTTAAGTCTTTTGCCCACTTACTTATTGGGCAGTTGTTTCTTTGAGGATTTGTTGTTGGGTGGTTTAATTTTTTGAGTTCCAAGTATATTTTAGATATGAGACCCTTGTCCGTTGTATGGCTAGTAAAGATCTTCTCCCAGTCCGTGGGCTTTCTATTGATCTTGCTAGCTATGTCATTTGCCCTGCAGAAGCTCTGCAACCTTATACAATCCCATTTGTCCAACCTTTCTTTGATTTGTTGTGTTTCCGGGTCTCTATTCAGAAAATTTCGGCCTGAGCCGAGGAGACCCAGGGTTTCTCCTATTCCATCCTGTAATGTTTTCAGAGTGTCTGCTTTGAGTTCAAGGTCTTTGATCCATTTGGAGTTGATTCTGGTGCAGGGTGATATATAAGGATCTAGGTTTAGTTTTCTACATGTAGTTAACCAGTTTTGCCAGCACCATTTACTGAAGAGGCTGTCTAGTGACGGAATTGTTTAATGCATTTTCCACAACATGTCTCTACTGTTAAGTGGCACATGACTGCAGGCGTTTTAAAAGTCTTCATGTAGTATTATCAATACATACTAACCTATTATCAGCCATATAATCTGGGGGGATATGAATGTGCATGAGACAGAAATCAGTGGCCCAAAGGCAGCAACCCCTATAGTTCCTGGAGAAATCTCTCATCTCCTAGAGCATCTTGGATGAATATGAGGCACTTGGCCTTCATGAAGAGAAAGTCTCCCTGCATGCAAAAGCAGATGCAGTAGATGGTGTGAAAAGCTAGAGGCAGTATGGATGCAGCCTGGCTGCAAGAAGTGGGAAACACAGTGAATACATCTTTGAGATCTTTGGTGCCATTCCTACCATACCTCACACCTAGGGTTTGCACTAAACAGTGTTGTCTGAGGGAGCAATATCCCATTTGCCTTTGTGTATCGTCTCTGAGATGTGGCAGGGATGTGAACAATAATAGATATCGCAATCAGCATTTCTTATCACTTATAAGCAAATCAGTTCTGCCTCTTCCTTTGCCCAAGCATTTCCCTATGGATATTTTTCTTACAAAGTTTATGGGTTCATCTCTTAAAATATGCATTTTTTTTCAGAGTAGGGATGATCTTTTTACAGCCTTTGGGATTTAAATATTATCTGACAACACCTCCGAATCACACTTTTGAGTCTCTGACATGCAGGTATTTCTGGCATCTGTGGGACAGAATTGTCAACAGAAGCTTCGCAAATGTGCAAATAGCAGCAGAGTTGTCAGCTGGCTCTACAGAATTCCATAGAACTCTTTTTACTGAGGCCTTTAGACTCCTAGGATCTCCAGGTGAGGACTACGGCCAGGGATACAAGTAAAACTATTTCATTCAGTATGTGCTCAACAAATTCTTACCCAGCACCTGCTACATGCAGAGCATGGCTGTTCCCTTCTGGCCAATAAGCACCTAATTTCTCCAGGAAAGCAAGATGCTTCAATAACCAGCTACAGAATGTGACAGCAGGCTAAGTGACCTCAAGGGATAATCTGATCAATACCACAGAGCCTTAGGGAAGCTGCAGAGATAATCAAGCCTTGAACTGGCAGGTGGTCTATTGGAGAGGTTTAAAGAGGTGTGCTCAGCTGGATTTGGTGCAAACCTGCTGAGCATCCTGTTCTAAGAGCAGGAAGCATTTGAAGCCTTCTCTCTCTCTGTATTAGAATCATATCTGACTTCCTGGGAAGCTTGATAGCTTTGTTTTGACAAATGATTGAAATCTGAGAGTAGATTTCTGTGCATTTTTGTGCTGGGGCCTGGGCTTTCCTTCTTTGAGCTGTAAAAGCAATGATATTGACAGTGTAGGGAGGATGGATGTTAGGGGGATGCTACAGGTCTCCCTCTCAGAGCACGCTCAGAGCCAGTGCCTTCTTGTCAGTGGATGTGTATTATTAAAATCAGGACAGATTAGAATTAGGAAGACACTTGGAGGAGTTCCAGGGATTCATAACAAATGTAAATTTTTTTCTTGTGGGGTGTGTGTGTGTGTGTGTGTGTGTGTGTGTGTGTGTGTGTGTGTGTGTGTGTGTGTGTGTGTGTGTGTGCTGGTACTTAGGCTTGAACTCAGGGCCGCCTGGGTGCTGTCCCTTAACTTTTTTGCTTAAGGCTAGTGCTCTGCCACTTGAGCCCCAACTCCACTTTTTGGCTTTCTGCTGGTTAATTGGGGATAAGACACACTTCTTGCATGGGCTGGCTTTGAACCACAATTCTTAGAGTTGACCCTTCGGAGAGGTAGGTAATGTGCATGAGCCATCAATGCCTGGTAACCAAGAATAAATCTGAGGATCACAGTTCAAAGCCAGCCCAGGCAGGAAAGTCCATGAGATTCATTTCCTATTAACCATAAGAAAACCAGAAGTGCTGTGGCTCAAAGTAGTAGAGTAGTAGAGCAGTAACCTTGAGCAAAGAGTTCAGAGACAGGGCCGAGCCCTATAACCAACAACAACAAAAAAGGGCGAAGATAACTTAAGTGGCTTTCAATCAAGCATTGCTTGACTTCTTTAGCTCATTCTGATGAGCCTCTGCTACCATTAAAAGAACCTAAGTACAAAACAGACTCCCTGATCTT